TTGTCGGGTTTTTTATTACTTCAGCACTCTTGCACTTGGAAGAAGACATGAATCTTTTGGTCGTGTTAAATATTCACATCAATATCACATCTCAAAAGTTCTCTTTAACTCTTTTTCAGTTATTGTGAATAAATTTATATAGTTCACCTCCCTGTGATTCGATTTCAAACTTGCTGGGTTATTTATTACTTTGACACTCTTGCTTTTGGAATAAGACATCAATTTTTTTTATCATATCAATAATCCCACCATCCCAAGTGTTTAGAATGTGGTATTCTAACATTCCATCTATGTTCTATTCATAGAGGGTGGAGGCATTAAATTTGTATTGGTTGATAAAGGTAGGTATTTTGAATGGATATGTCTAAAGCAATGAGTGATTTTCTCTAGACAAGTTTATCAATCTCAGAGTTTCTTCTCTGAAGGCGTCTTCATTAGAAGTTTGGATATGATCTGTTTGATTATTTTGAATGGTGTTAACTTGGCTTGTAAAGGTTGAAGGATTGTTACTGACTTGAAGGATGTCAGGAAAATTAGGGTTAAGGCTTCAATTTGATAAAGATGGTCTTTGATGACTTTGAAAAAGTCATTTTTATTGTTTTAAAGTTGTGTTTGGCTTATGTTGATGACTTAGTAAGGTTTGAAAACTAGGATTTTTAGCTTGAGGTCTATAGGTTTTATAGTTTCAAAAAGGTTGGCAATAGTCATTTAGACCTGCTTTTCTATTTTAGTTAATTATTTGCTTAAAGTGTTAAGGTTGGTATTGGTAAAATTGTTTTGTTGGATAATATTTTTGGTATTTGTAATAATGTCTTCACTGGGAATTTTGTAAAGAGTAGCTAATTTTGTAAAGAGTAGCTTTAACTATTTGATCTTTGTGTTGGATTTTAAGGTTTCTTAAGGGTGGATGTTCAAACTCGACTGAAGGACCATTGGCAAGTTCTCAAATAGTATTTTTTTTTATTTATTTCTAGATGTTATAGGACATACATGTTTTTTCTGTGTGTAAGGATATGCAATATTATGTTTGGACGCATAATACAACTCAAACCAATCAAAAAATAACATTTAAACTTTATGTAATGTGATTAAATCACATAAATATTTTTGTATCTCATGTCTTTATTGTTAAAAAAGTTTTGAAAAACCAAGACCTCTTGTCAAAGTTATGGGCACCATAAAAATCATTTTTGAATTAATTTTTGTCAACAACAAATTCTTTTTCTGAAGTCAAATCATTCAGCTTGTTTTAGATTTTTTTGTGATTGTAGAAGAGGTTGATGAGGTTTGAGGGGATTGTTGTTCAGGGTTTGTATGTAAAAGTTTATGTATATTTATGGTGTAGTCTACATTTTGAAATATGGTATTTAGAATATTAGAGGTTGATTTCCTAAGTGGATTTGCTTGGTGTGGTATATTTATGATAAAAGAGATTTTAAAGATTCTTGCTAGATCTATAGTATTGGGTGAGGAAGATTCATCTGAAAATTTGGAACTAGTTGAGCGTCGATGGAAAGATAATTTGACATTTCCATCAGTATATTGAGTTATTTCTCTGATCTAGATATTTGGTTTTAGTGGTTATGGTTGTTGAGGTTGTGTTACACCTTCAAGGATCCAATCCTTTAGAAAGCTTACATCACTCCACTTGATAGTTCTAGGAACAACTGTGTTTGATTTATAAAGGTCAATTTTTTGGAGTAGAGTTTCACCTCTTTATGATTGTAATTTATGTTTATTGGTAAAGTTTGAAAACATGGCTTTGTAATGGATCTTAAAGATCAAGGTGACTGGAATCGATCCTTCAAACGTGTTGTAATTATGAGTTTTTATTTATAAGATCATATTTTGTAAGATATTTTGGTCTTTGAGAGATATAGTGAGTTTTGAGTAAAAGCAAAAGAAAATTAGTTCATTGCATAGGTTAGATTTGATAGAATTTATCAAGAATTCTTGAAAGTATTGAAATATAGTGTCTCTGAGTATTGCTAGAATAGAGGTATTGAGACCTTCTTTGGTAAGGGATTTGATCCCAACTTGTACTAGGTCGATATGAATATATTTATAGTTTCAGTCTTGATGTTTTTACAGGGATTTCTTTAGAAAAGAGTTGGATAGTTTCAAAGGATTTTTTGAGCTGAAAATATTTTTCTTTAATTTTGATTGTAAAATCAGTTTTAAAAAGATCAAATTTGAATTTTTGATAAATATGTGTTTTTAAAACTTTTAAAGTTTTTCAATCATCAATATTTTTTTGTTAAATCTTTAATTTTTATTTACTATTTATAACTCTTTTATTTTAAAAAGATTTAGAGGTAGAGGAAGTTAAAATAGAAGTTGTTTTACAAAAATAGAATCTATGATTTAAAAAGATAAACTTAAAAATGCAAGCCACAATTTATATGGGTTTTTTGGCTTTTTTATCACTCAACAAGATTCATTACCATTCAATAGCATTTGAGATAGAAGGAGAGGAAGGGATACACATGAGCGAGATTATTATTTTTTTTGTCATTTTCCTCCCTTTCTCCTGACTAAAAATGTTTTATTGTTTTTCTAAAGAGAAACAACACTATAAAACACACAAAATATTTTCCCTAAAAAAAATATTTATAGCCATTATTCACCAGAAAAATGATCATATATCCCATGAGAATTTGTGTGGAGCACAATTAATCTCCTAATGTCGCCCTACTACCTTGACGAGAGAAAAATCAAAACCATTTGCCTGTAGCCCTGATTTCTAGTTGACTCATTTTGCTTGTTGGAATCCTTAAGGAGGAGAATAAGAATCAGGTCAAACAATATCTCGATTCTAATCTTGCCTAACAACTTGGTATTATAAAGAGTTAAATTATCACATGAGGTTACTAAATCAGTAAGTCTCTGTTTAAATATTAACTGAGTTTAATATTGAAGGATATAACTTAGTTAGTTAGACTCTAGATTTGCTTTTTAGAGATTATCAATTTGAATCCTTCAAATCTTAGAACAACTAAAAAATTATATGATCATTAACTACAGTTAATTGAGGTATATGTAAGCTGGTCTGGACACCCACATTAATAAAAAAATCAACTGAGTTCTTTGCAATTGTAAGAGATGAATAACCATGTTGTTGAATATATGTTTTTTAAATAATTTAAATTTATTTTTGTTTGCAATTATATATATATTTTTAACATTAACACTTTAAATAATTCGAATATATATATATATATATATATATATTTGAACTATTTTAAATTGTTAATTTTAAAAATAATTTTTTTAAAATAAAAATATATTATTTTTCTAACGTTTTATGTCTTGTAGTGGTATCTAATTTAACTGTATGAAGAATTATTTGATTTTTAATGCACCAGGATTATTTTATTAAGCAAACACATACCTTTATATTGGAGCTCCGTCAACATCAAATTTCATCAAGTGTCCTGTAATCTTGGAGACTGCTTCTTTACATTGTGTATTGTATGATCGAAGATTCTTGAGGCTGAATGCCCAGATTGTCCTAGTGAAAACCCACAATCTATTCGCCAAGGGACAGCCTTCTTTTCTTTATATTTTATATACTGATATATGAATTTTAGAATAAATAAAGAGAGGGACTCTCAACAACGAAAACTGACTCGACAGCGACACTTGACTCCTCCACAAAAGAAATTGCCTCGGGGAAGAACGAGAAACTGGCCTCTTTGGTGGCATTGGCATAGAAAAACTACCTCCTTTTCTCTCTTTTTCTCATTAGAGTGTGTCACTAAAACAAAATATATTCCTTGTGGGCTCATTTTTCCTACTCCGCCTTCTTAACGGTGGCAGTCTCTCACAGGCGGTGGGTTTTGCAGGTGAAATTCTTAAACCATGGTGGTCCAATTAAACGCCGTCTTAGTGTGTGGTCCATGAGGCTAAGAGGGGGGAGAGCAGTTTCCATTTCCATGGTTCAATTTATTCGGTAGAAAAAGACCTCATCAGTATAACAAAATTAGATTAGTTCCCAAATCCTATCACTTTATTTTATTTTATTTTTTTTGGGAAATTTTGCCAAATATAGATTTCAACGTTCACATTAAGAGGGTCACCAGCAGCGTGTGTAAGTTGCTTTCAGGGGTCACGGTTGTCTGATATGGGACGGTGTAGTTATTTCTTCTGCTGCGACCACCACACTATCCCCACCACCACAAGACATTTGCAGCCAAGTGGAGCAAATTGACTCGTGGGAGCTTCATAGCTACCGCCTGCAATTTCTAGGGTCAAGAAATACAACCCTTGGTGGTCTAGTGGAGCCCTTGCATCAAACTCGCTTTCACACTAGAGATAACACTTCCCAGCTATTAAGGGTCAGTTTTGTTAAATGATTGGATTGTGTAATAATTATTATTAATTATATATTGTTTGTTTTATGTGTTTTAAAAATATTTTAAATAAATAAAAATAAAAATTATTTTTTTATGTTTTAATTTAAATATATTGAAAAAAAAATTAAAAATAAAAAAATTATTTTAATATAGTTTAAAATAAAAAACATTTTAAAAAATAATTACTATCACAATACCAAACAAATTTTTAGTGTGTATATTTGATAAAGTTGTGTGAGTTTTAAAAAATAGTTTAAATTAAAAATATTTTAAAATAATATTTTTTTATTTTTTATTTTTTATTTTTTTATTTCAACCCCTCAAAACTATTAAGAAACACCTCAAATAATTAATTTGATGTTTTTCAAAAAAAACAATAAAAATAATAATAAATCAAACTACCAATCATTCATCATTGACTGCCAAATAATATAAAGAAAAATAAAAATGAAAGTTTTTTATTTTTTAAAAATCCTATATTCAACTTTTTACCAAAAAATCGAAATTAAAGCTTACGACATAAAGGTGAATTCCCCCTCCATGCATTGTTCATTCTAAAGATGAAATACCAATTAGTATTGTATTTTTGTTTTTTTTTTTAAATGGAAAAGAATCAACAAGGTGCAGGGAAATACTCCACACCAAAACATTATAATAAGAAATGATATCTAAAAAAGGAATAGGTTTGACCCTTGTTTAGCCATGGTAAGACAAAACTCGCAAAGATATAACTGGAATCGTGGACTTTGGATCTCCCATATCTTTCTCCCATTCCATCAAAATCGTCTCTCTCACAAGCAACCATGTGTCAAATCCTTCTGCACTATCTAGGCCACCACATTCAAGAAAATTCGACAACGTATCACAATAAAGACACCATAATCAAATATATATATAGGGGAAAAAAATAAACAGAAAAAAGCACTAATGGAAGCTAGAACCTGGAGTGTAAATAGCAAGACCAGGCCACCCATTATTACTATTTCCCCACTCCCCACTTTGCAAGTAACTCTCGCCACCACCATCATTAGTAGCGTGATTGTTACTGCTCCCTTGCAAATCCAAACCCGGGTCTCTACTTGGACCCGCATTCAAATCCTCCCCAAACCCACCCATCCGCACCATTTTCAAGCCCGACCCACCTGAATCCAGCCCTTCAAAAATACTCCCAAACTGCCCGCTTGATGCCAACAACGAGCTGAAGCTCCCTCCCATATCCAGTATCTTCCTGTCCGGATCCGCCTCCACCCCATATACGCGGGTCGGATCCTGATTCCCATTACCCGCCAGCTGCTGTCCCGATGTTGAGGAGGTCGCTGAGGAGGAGGAGGAGTCCGCAACCCGGCGGGTTGGCTTAACGGGGTCGGGATTGGGGTCGGGATTGGCGCGTTTGGTGTTTGAGGAACGTTTGGTGTTCTTGCGGCTACCGCCACCGACTGGGATGTTTCTCAAAGCGCCACCTTTGGTCCAGTATCTCTTGCAGTTCTTGCAGAAATGACGGGGCTGAGAGAGGTTGTAGTTGTTGTAGTAGCAGAACTTGGTGTTGTTGGAATCACAGCGGGGGCACTTGAGTTGCTCTTGCTCTGGAAACTGAGGCTTTATTGTTTGGAATGCTGTCGATGGATCTTGCATTTCTTGATGTTCTCTGTTTCTGAGACTGTATTGAATGATAAAGAGAGACGTGTTTCTGAGGATTTGTAAATTGGAGGTGGATTTGGTCTACCTAGCTAGTTTCTAACATGAAACACGAACAAGAGAAGATGATTTTTCCGAGGATAATTATGTGGGATTTGAAGAGATTATCTGGCTTTATTTGGCAACGAAAAAGACTTGAAATTTAAGGTCTTTGATTTGATGAGAGACCGAGTAGTCTTCAAGTTTTGCAAGGAGACTGAGTTTTTTATGATTTCTATGTATGAATACGATAAATGGTTTGTGGGAATTTATGAGCTGATGAAGATGTCAAGTACTGGAAAAAGATAAGAGAAACAAAAAGCATGCAATTTGATGAGAGTAGAGGTGATGAGACAAAACCAGATGGAGCTTCAAGCCATAATTAACAAAACAAAGCACATGAGCTCCAAGTTAAGTTGTTGTTGTTCATGGAAAACCATCAAAAGATGAAGAAAACGAATAAGACTGGATTTCTTTTAATTTTAGGATAAAAAAAAAAAAGGTCAGTTTGTTCAAGAAACGATTAGAGAAGCAGATGAGAAGAGGATATTTGTGACTGAAAGATCTTTGAAGAAGAAGAAGACGAAGATCAATCTATCTACCTGCTTGTTGGTGTCATCGTGTGTGTTTCCGCGTGAGAGTGACCTCTATAAAACACTTCAAAGTTCTGTTTTTCTTTTTCTTTTTTTTTTCTTTTTTTTTCTGGATGTGGCTAGGCTTCATTTCACCCGCTGGACACCACTGCTCATCACGCACTAACACCAAGCTAAATTGCCTAATAATGGCGGCAGTATTTTAATCAAAAAGCAAATGAGTTTTGGTTGATTTAATATAATATACCTTAACGGAAACGGGAGCCTGGCCTTTGTTTTATTTGAGGGCTTCAATTTGTTTTTTGGCGAGGTAGCAAATGTCAATTCCAAATGATTGAATGCTCTCCTCACCTAATTTATGAGAAACAACACCATGTTTACCGAATATAAACTTCAACTAAACAAGAAAGATGATAACCAAAAAACAAACATGACATGCAAGTATATATTTAAATGAACCAAGTATAGCCGATGATTAGTAGTAGTTATGTTGGAAAATTTGTTTTAAAATATGATTAATATGCAGGATAATAAATTAAAAGTGAAATTTATTTATTTTTAAAGTTAAATTTTTTTAAATTTAATTTTCAACATAAATTTTTTAATACTAAATATTAATATAATTTATAAATAAATAAGAAATTGATCTCAAATATTTTTTTGTTGACATTTTATACAAAACTCTTTAAAAAAACTCAATCACACATGAAAAGAAAACCAAAAATAAAAATAGTGTTCATATAACATAAAAATAAAAAGTTAAAATTTAATTCAAAAGATCTAAACTTTTAAAGTGAGAATAACATATGCAAAGTGGGTTTTGGTTAAAAAGCCATATACATGGCCAGCCTAATATAATACTCCAGACTAAGTTTGGATTTATTATAAAATAATATTTTAAGCTACAAAAAATTATTTTTTGTTAACTAAAATTTAGGTTTGAGTTCAATCTATTTAAGAATTGCTTCTTCGATCTCATAAATGTTAAAATCCTATCACTTTGTTTTGAGAACCATTCCAACATTATCTGAACAGCTTTTTTCAGCTCAAAAGTCACCTAATTTAAATTCAAAAACATTCAAATTTAATTTTGATTTTATGGTTGCTAAACAAAATTATTAATAAGAAATTCCATAAACTTTTGGTTTCCAAAATTCTATATTGAAAATGGTTGAAGAAGAGTGTTTAGCGTTGGTTAATTATGCACTATTTTGGCAGAATTTGACACTCTTTCTTCACCTAATTTTCCAATAATGCTCTTCTAGTTTTAAAGCTTTTCTTCCTCTTTAAATTTCTTTCTTGTCAAGAGTTTAGATCCATGTCTTGTAAAGAGATAATTGGGTACTATTTTTTTAATTTGTTAGACTTTATTTAGAAATGCACCTAAAGAAGATGGCATTGTTAAAATTCTAGGAGACTTAGTAAAGAAAGTCCCTTTGTACTAAAGGATGAATAATGAAGTTTTAAAAATAAAGAATTAATCATTTACAACAAAACTTTATCAATTTTAAAGTGCTTTAACAAATACTCTTTTTAGTTTTGTTTAATTTTATACATTAGTATGCATGTTAGGATTGAGATTTAGTCATTTATGCAAGTTTGTTTATCTGTTAAATAAGCATGCTAGTTTTTTTATTATAATTACAAATTGTCATATTTTTATTGTATTGAATGTTTATAAACTAAAAATATTTTTCTCACTTGTTTAATTTTATTTGTGAATATTGGAAAACAAGTTGTTTGTAAAGAATAGTAAGTTATAAGTTTTAATTAGTTTTAAAAGTGAATTTATCTAATTAAGAATCTTAATGAGTTGGCAATTGTTTTATAATTTTTAAGAATTTCAATTAGAAAGTATGTGTGTGTATAAAGGTATGGAAATGCTAAAAAAAAATTGATAAGTTTATTAAATATTAATCATAGCATCTCAAATATATTTAAAACAACTAGCTATAAAGTTTGTTTAAAAAAAAGGTTTGATGATTATTAAAAACAAAAATAAAACAAGTAATAAATATATTTAGCGACACCTATTCTATAGCTAAATAAACTAATTTATATTGTGTTACATCTAGAATGAATGAGAAACCAAAAATGTATTGCATGAACTAATAAAAAACAAAATGAGAAATTCTTATGTAAATCACATAACACTTATAATTATGTACTCAACTAGTCCAAGATAAAAGTGAAGAAAGTTCTAGTTATCCTAGAGCAAAGCATCCTTAATTTATATAAAAAAAAACATTGATAGCATTTTATAATTTCTTTTGTAGGATAAAAAAGGTCTTTTTTGTTTTTTGTTTTTTGTTTTTTGTTTTTTGTTTTTTGTTTTTTGTTTTTTGTTTTTTGTTTTTTGTTTTTTGTTTTTTGTTTTTTGTTTTTTAATCTAGTTAGAAATATTTTTCTAATGTGAATTAGTGAGCATAGCTAAGAAGCACTAATTAGGCTTGTTAAAAGGTTTAAAAACTAAAAAGATCCAAGAAAAATTGATTGAGTTAACTCTAGATACTTACATTAACAAGTTTCAAATTTGTTATATTAGACCTTCATGTATTGTTTGGGTCATATCTAAAGCAACATAAGAAATTTTGTTAAAATTCAAGTTGGGTTATAAACTAAATATCTCAAGCTTTCCATCCATTTATTACATGCTTAGTAAATCATCTAAATGATAGAGAAAGATATGTTTAAATCCAAGATTGAAATCTACCATTAAACAAGAAAATTTCCCATGCAATTGAAGATCTTTACAAGATTGAAATCTACCATTAAACAAGAAAATTTTGAAAATGATTATTTCCCATGCAATTGAAGATCTTTACAAAGTAAAGATTTAATTACACATGGAATCCTTTTTTTGCAAGGATTCTTTACTTTCTAAGAAGATCAATTAGGCAACAATTTTTATTTTGCAAGGATTACTTATATAGGAATAATTTTTATCATTCAAGAACATTTAAGTTAATTTTTGGCTTTATTTTTTTTAATATATAATTTTATACTAACAAATATAATTATTGATTCAATCATTGAATTAGACTAAAATGTTTCTAGAAGATTATAAAGCCCTTAATTTTATAGTGTTCATACATCAAAAGCCTTGTGATAAGGTCCAAAATCTACCATGTGAGATTTATATTATTTTCCTAGTTTGTTTTAGATTCTTTTCTCTCTTTGGATTAATACTTTTTTATTATTTTTTGAGCCTTATGGGGTTATTTAGCTTATAAACAAGGGTTATTTAGTAATTTTTTTACATATTATAAATATAGTTATTTAGCTTATATTTAGGGTTTTTTTTATATAGACTTTGATTATTTTTAGAATAATATTTTGTATGGCGAGGTCGCTTATACTTTTGGTTCTTCATTGATCTATTCTTAGACTTATCAAATATTAGTTGTCTTTATAGTATTCTTCCTTTATACCTTCAATTCATAATTCATTGTAATCATAAGGTTGAGGTTTCTTTTATGTAATAACTTTAATGTCTTGGTTCAGGTAATTATTGTGTTGAGTTTTATCTTCAATTTCACTGATCATTTCTTAAACTTATCAAATATCAATTGTTTTTATGGTGTTCTTTCTTTATACTTTCAATTCATGATTCATTATAATCGTAAGGTTAAGGTTTCTTTCATCTAATAATTATAGTATTTTAGTTTAGGTAATAATTATGTTGAGTTTTATTTTCAATTTAATTTTAGTTTTCTTAAGTTGTTTCTTTATTGTGTATAGATTAAATGGTTCTTATCCTCGGAGTTTACATAAAAAGGTATTAGAAAAAAATTTTAAAATCAGATTTTATCTATTTATCTGTCTTTAGTTTTTTACGTTGTTTGTTTCATTGATTTTTAGTCTTGATTTTGTTGCAACTAGCGCGTGTGTATTAAAAAAAAAAAAGAAAACAAAAAAAAAACAAAAGAAATTGCATCAGTTTAGTTTTTGATGTAAAAAATAAGATTACACAATTTGAACTCTAATTCTTGAGAAATTGCAATTCACATCAATTTATCTTTTATTAATGGGTATTGATTCCTTGGGCAATTATTTTGGGTTATTAAAACTATAAATTTTGATTTTAGGTGTAAAAAACCATTACAAATCAGTTATGTCAAATTAATGTTTTCACTAGTAGAGTCTATTGTTTTCAAATTAATTTTGATTTTATTTGAGTCTTTTTTTGTTTTGGGTTTTATTGAGTCTTTCTTAATTTTATTTTCATTTTTGTTTTTATTTTTCTCTTTGTTGGCATATTCGTTATTGTTGTTGTTATTGTTATTACTATCATTTTCATTGTTGTAAAGTCATATTATTGTCATTTTTTTTCTTGATGTTTTGAATCCTAAAATCTATGATTAATCATTACAAGGTTGTGATTGATTCTTTAAATAATTGAAAAGAAGAGAACGAGAGGTAAAATGTGAAAAGTGAGCATATTATTGTGAAAAATCATAATTGAGTGAAACATGAATGAAGTGATATCATATTGAATGCAAACACATAAAAGAGAGTGTGTACATTTTTTGTATTGACATAAAATTTTAGATTTGATGATGTCTTTTCAAATACAAGTCATCCTTTTAAGAAAACAAAAACACCTTCATTTTCTTACAAGCTTTGATTTCATAATAATATTTTGTATGCTTGGACAAGAATTGCTTATACATATTTGTTCTTTATTGAAATATCTTAAAATTATCAAAGATCAAATTTTTTGTGGCGTTATTTCTTATACTTTCAGTTTACAATTCCTTGTAATTATTAGGTTGTGGTCTCATTCCAATAACTTTGGTTTTTTTAGTTTAGGTAATTATTATGTTAAGTTTTTACTATTCTTAAATTTTATTTTTGCTTTTTTGGATTGTTTTTTTTTACGTGCAGGTTCAAGGGTTCTTAACTTTCGGGTTTACATAAGTTAGTATTAGAACCAAGTTGAGCTGAGTCTACTATAAGATTTGAAATTAAAAGAATCCAAGAGGAATTGATTGTACTAATTTTGAATGTTTAAGTTAACAAGTTACAAATCTATTAGATAAGACCCTGACACGACACATTTACCACAAATTAAATGTATCTTATATTATTAGATATATTATTATAAAATATGCTTTGGTTAAGGAGTTATTGATACTTCAAGTGCAAAATGATGATATAAAACCATGATAAAAATGCACTTTTAAGTACTAATCAG